TCCTTAAACTTGCCAAGATCTCTCTTTTACCGTCAAATATTGTAGAATATGAATATATTATTTTCTAATAAGAGTTGAAAAAATTTCATTATTTCACTATTTAACTAACATTACACAGTATTATTAATTGTAATAATTTGATTATGATAGATAAAGATAGAACTAAATAATAAGTATGAATTCACATTTTAGTTCTCTTTTTCCCTTTTATGTATGCATGTATATACATAACACAATACGTGCTTGAGCGTTCGCCCTCGCGCGCGCGCATACGTATGCTTTCATGCGTGTCGGGGTGGGGAGTGGGGTGAGGGGTGAGGGATGAGCGGTGAGGGGTGAGGGGGGAGGGGTGGGGAGAGGGGGGGGGGTGAGCTTGTGTATGGCGTTTGTGTATTGCGAAGTCAAAGATGAAAGAATACCGTAGGGGAAAGACTGACTGGGCTTACGCGCCAAAACATCGTTTTAGTCCCCGTTTTTCTCAAGTTTTTCCTTTTTTCTCGTAGAATAATATACTCTTGACAAGTGGTGAGCGAAAATTAATTTGCCAGACTTGGTTGCCGATGTATAACTACTGTTGAACCTTCTCATCTGTATTCGCTCCAGTGATTTTTCCATTTTGTACGTAAGCGCAGAAAGACGCATGAACAATTATTCTGAAAATCTACGCTATATTGTTCCTTTCAGCCCACTCACACGTTTTACATTGTAAAATATTTCGGCGACATTTACATTTGGTCCATTTTGGAATTATATTAAATTATTAATGAAAGCATTAATCTTCAAAAGTCCTTAATATTTACATATGTTTTTTAATTAAGCATCGTGAGAATTGGCATTCATGTTTCATAAATCATACGTGAAAATGAAAAATTACCATTAATGTATTGAGTAAAACAAAAGATTAAGAAATCGTAGTATTCATGCTATAAATTATAATTTCGTTCCAAAAATCCAAAGTTAACGCAATAATAATAAGACCTAAATTGCTCGATCGAAAGTATCGAAGATTATTGTAAAATTTTGATTTCTGTTATTTGATGATTATTAAACCAGATTTATGGCCAAACTTTTAAAATACAAAAATTTTGTTCCTAATAATATTATTGTAACATTTTCAAAATTTCTATAATATACCTCAATTGTCACTCAATAATTCAATTTATTTATCCCATGCTTGAACGAAACATGATAATTCACTCTGTCAGTTTGATTTGTAAGATATGAAAAGATTAATAATTAATTTATATCGAGCAAATATGTAAATGCAGCTTTAAAATTGCAAGAGCATATAAAATTATCAAAAATATTCATGACACGAACATGACACAATATTTCATATAAAAATATAAAAAATATATATTACATAATGTTATATAAGACGTAAAATGTAATAAATATATACAATGTGTAAATATATATTGTAATAAATAAATGAAATTTTATTAAAATTAAAAGCTCTACGTATATGGGCTCTCATAATGCGTAATAAATGAAAGATTGATGTTTATTATTTTAATAACATTGGAGGTATATCATCATCCAAATTTATAGGGAAGAAAAATTTTTCACTGCAATAATACATCGTATGATTTTAGAGAAAAACGATGCACGGTGGCACGCTAAGTATAATAAAGTCTGATAAATGAAAAGCCAAGTACCAACTAATATTTGGCTAAAAGGGTCGACTCGCTCTCGTTCTACGGTACCACAATTATTATCCCTATTTATGTCGTACGTACACAGCGTATACAGAGTCTCGCGTGCAATAAATGATCAGCGAATAAAGGAACGTAAAAATGTAAGAGGGGGGGGGGAAGAAAAAGGAAAGTCAAGAGGAAAAATCAATACAGCCGCGTCACGATTGAATTTCTTTTTTAATAACTGTGGAACATTGTCTGTCCGAGTCGCTTCGAGTGAGCCATGTAGTTTCACTTGAATAAGAAAGAAATAACGCTACTTTCCACCATCATCCCCACCACCCCACCTCCCCCCATTTCTACCCTCAGAAAAGTAGTTTTGTTATTCTTTTTGATTCTTTTAGCTGGAAAGGTTAAGCGACCGTTGTCTACGCTGTTTTCGCTGTTCTAATAAAACGACGACGTCCTTTATAATAATGTCCTCCTCCTCCTCGTCTATTTTTTATACATCTTTTACTACTACTACTACTCTCTCTCTCTATCTCTCTCTCTCTCTCTCTCTCTCTCTCTCTCTCTCTCTCTCGCTTTCCGATTCCCTCCCTTCATTCCTCTTTCTTTTTCTTAATCTTCATACCGCTATTTTCTCGAGCGCAGCAGACAAGATAAACCCGAACACTTAGACATACTTTCTGGAAACGCGAGAGAATTAGATGTGCAGCGAGAGGAGGCTGGTAAAGTATTTACCGTAATAACCTCGTCATTATAAGCTTGCAAATTGTTATGAGGTAAATAATATTTGAAAAAGGCTACTTAATATCCTCTTCGCGAAACTTACCAACTACGCGAGTTTCTTGCGTCGCACCGTTTACAATTTCGAATTATTGAGGAAAATCGTAATATCCTAGTGCACGGGGACATGGAAATATTGCTTACATTATTTACAAAGTATAATTTAATCGATCTAATCTGCTATTTTGATCATGTAACTGTTAGATTTTTGTTTGTTTGTTGGTTTTTTTTTTTTTTATTTTCGATGATACACTTATTGTTGTTATGTTATAAAGTCGTACTGCCGAAATATCCAAATAAATCGATAAACTATCGAATTGAGCCGCAACGATAAGTTTATCATCCACGTTCTATCCACTTTACATTCCACAAACAGCGAACCAACGAACTTCCCGCCGCGGAACCAATGGGACGCCCTTGGCCGTCCAAACGCTGGGGTCGCACATTCGCGGGAGCATGCGCACCACCGTCGGCACTTACTCCCACGCAACGCCTAAATCGCGGAGATAAGACTACGATCCTCTCCCAGGCAAGCGATCAAGCGATCGGCTCTATCCTCTTGCGTACACCCGATGAACCCGATCCCTTCTTATCGCCATTATTCCACGAGATGATCGGACTAAGCCAATTGCCGAAGCTGCGACGTTCTCTGTAGCTTTGGCTACCTCCATTTACCGAACCTCCCCCTACCACTCGTGTCACAATCGACGACCCTCCTCACTTCTCATTATAGCGTATCCTCGATTGCGTCCGGCTTCGTATTGGTAATTTGTATGGCATTGAGCGAGCATTACGGGCCCTCGTCAATTATTATATCGTCGATAGTATTCGGATGATCGGCTCGGCGACAGTGCCGCTCCAGAGCTTTAAATTAATTAAACGAACCAACTCGATGCTAATTGCCTCAAAGCGGCTTTATAACTTTTCTTCGAGTATTCGCAATATTATTAAAAACAGATTTATTAATTATGCTAATGGTTAATTTATAGGCGTCGCTTTATTATGTAGTACGATGTACATGAATAATGAAGGATGTGGGAGAAGGAATATTTCCTTGGAGATAATATTATGTATCGCGAGATAGTAAGTATGAAAATCAGAATTTTAATTATCGATAATGAATAATATATTGATAATACTTGGAGGTCAATTGCCATCGTGATCAATTCTATACTTGGGGCCTTTTTTTTTTTTTTTTTTTTTTTTTTTTTTTTTTTTTTTACATATAATACACACTTTCTTAGTATTTCTACGTATAAAAAAAAACATTAACACCAACGTTACTTTATTTATATTAATTTCCAAAACCAGTCAATACCATATATATATATATATATATATATATATATATATATTTTATTTTCATCTCATGTAAAATACTTATTATTTAAATTTTGTGAATATGTGAATTAAAATATTATTATGTATGGTGCAATCTTTTTACTTCATTGTATTATTATTTATAATGAATGTATTATAAAGAATTTATTTAAATAGAATTACATAAGTTGTATCGATTATAAGTTGTAATCGGTTATACGAAATATCATTCGAAAGAGAGTATTCGTATTCTTCAAATTTTCAAACAGAAATTTAAACAATTAATAGGGGATGGAAAAATTTTATATATAATTATTAAATTTCATTAGCTGATAGTCGGGGATTCGTTAGAAAAGAAAAATGTTAATAAAATTTGATCGATTTAAGGCAAATTAAGTAAGTTTTAGGTCTAGCGTATATACTTTATTTTGCTAATAAATTAAATTCCATAGCTAGAAGCGTAATTAATTATCTCACTTTATCAGCAAATTAAAATTTCATTATGTCACTCAATATGTAATTAGTATAGTTCTTCGAACTGAAATAGATGATACTTACATTTATTGATCTATGATTCTGTTCTACGTTTGTAAAATCGAATCAGTTGCATTAAAAAGATTACGCTTACGGGCACTAATTTATCCGCGTCCACTACTAATCAATTCATATGAAATAATTATATTACACTTGAATCTATATATGGGCGGACGAAGTTTTGGCATATTTATATAGAGCAGAGTCCTCGATAAATATTGGATTTGAATGGAACAATCGTTATTATTGATTGAAAATTGTCATTCGTTCACACAATATAGGCGCTCCTTGTAACCTGCTAATTCTAACGTTTCTCTATATTTAGAACATCAATTTTTCTCAATTTTCAATACATCGTCTTGCTTTGGAAATAACGCGAGACATCGTGTGACGGCGACTTCAATGTAAAAAAAGGAGATATGCCACTTACACTTCCGTGACGACTTCTCCCAACTACCCCTAACTAGCGTACTCGTAAAATAATAATAATAATAATAACAACAACAACAACAACAACAACAACAACAACAACAACAACAACAACAACAACAACAACAACAACAACAACAACAACAACAACAACAACAACAACAACAACAACAACAACAATAATAATAATAATAACAATAATAATAATAATAATAAAGCAGAATCCTGGGGACGCGAGATAAGAGATATCGTGATGTAAAAGGATGAGAGTAACGCAAGGACACTTTTCAGGTGGCGTGGTAAGCTATACAATTTCGGAATCGCCGGTCGCGGAGCTCAGCGACACCTCCTACGACGGTGTCCGACAAGACGGAAGACTGTCGGGAGGCCTCGGCCGACTGATCGATGGCGAGACCGGCGCCGACAATTACAGGCAGGACATCGCTTACGAAAGAGGTGAGCTTTATCGTCTTATCGTCACCCTCTCGCCCCTCTATCGGCCCCGCGAGTCGACCCCGCGGCCATGTCAAGTACGACCGAGCGTTTGTCAGCGCCAACTGACTCACCGCCCGTGCGCGACTTTGCGTGTTTCGCTATTACGGATTAAAGATTATTCCCCTACTGTTTTTACTTAGGATAGACGTGACCATTACACTCTCTAGATCCTTATCTCGACTACGAAATTTAACTCTTTATGAATATGCTTGCATATTTCTTCTGGCGCTCCTCTCAGAAACCTCCCTCCCGGCCACCATCGCGCATTAAGAGCTCTATGACGCAACTTTAACTTTGTCATAACTACAGCATGGGTGCTCATTCGTCATGATCATCGCACTTTAAATGACACAGAGGCTTGCGCGATAATAGATTTTCAAAGTGGAAAAATCACGATTATCTCGGGAGTTGTTGCAAACGGCAATTTTCACGGCATTCTCATTAGGCCAAGTTACGCTAGTATTTGATATTAGTATTTACGTAATATTGCTACCAGTAAGGATCAATATCTACGAAAATATGATACTCAAACCATGAAGGTTCAAGAGAATATAATTTTAAATTAAAAAAAAAAAGGGGGAAAAAAAAATAATAAAGAAGAAGAATAAGCGCATTGGCATTGCGAGCGAGGACAGCAATTACGTGCCATCATTCTTGACGACAACAAACGGTCAATCGTCGATTATAATAGCCTAGCAAATCTTAAAATTTCATTAGAAAGTAAAATTGAAAATTGCCGATGGGTAATAATAGCCGGGATTGGGGAGCGATAATAATTTACCTAAAAATATGCTGAACTTTCTATCCACAGGTACTGGTTGGCTGGCTTGGATGCGCGACAGCTATCCCGACAATTTCATTGAGCTAATTTTTTACTTCGACGATCTAAGAACTTTTAACGCTGTGCACATATATACCAACAACTATTTTAAGAGGGATGTGCAGGTAATTAATTATCATTGATTATCGTTGCCAGGTAAATGAAAGCAAACCTCGATTAATTAAATTATTTTCATTTAATTGTCATTACCGTGGCACATTATTATTCGAATAATAACTTTAAAGCATTGAAATTATAGTTGATTTTATGGGACATATGATATTTGCCAAAAAAATTACTTTATTTCTATCAAAATTTGGATATATTAGTTGATTGATTATAAATATTAATGTAAGAAAAGCCGTGACTCAACAATGCCCGCACGTGTAATATTTCCAATAACAACAGCAACAAGCTCCACGGAATAATTAATACAGAATGTTAAAAATGACGTCATTGAAAATATAACCAACCAATAATGTAAAAACGAATGAACATTGAATTTTCTATTAACATTTTAATCATATGAAAATTAATAATTCCACGTTCGATTGTAATATTAAAATTTCGTCGCACGGAAATAATTATTATGTCATTCTTTTTTCCTTTTTTCCTTTTTTCCTTTTTTTATTTAATGGCCGATCGACGAGCTCTAATATAATTGATGATGTATAATCTTAATCGAATATTATCGAACATTGACATATCGTTAAATATAAAAAATACGTCATTTTCACTCATAACGTACTTCCAGTCGGTAGAGCGATACCAATCAATCGACATACTTTATAAATATTACTACCGTATTCGACTCATACAAAGTTCGCTTGCATCCTAAGTAATCCAAAGTACATCGGCATTAATTTAATACGACCCTATCGGAATTATAATTTGTACTTGTATGAATAATTATTTTCTCAATCCCAATCGTGAATTGTCTGTTGGACTGTTGTTTGTAAAACATTGATAAGCCCTCCGTTACATTGAATTAGTGTCACAATATTTCTTATGCACAGATCCTTTAACACATACCGATCGAATAAAACAAAAATTTAACTCGAATGACTTGAAAGCTTCCAATTGCGATCTTTTTAAACTATCAACTAGACCTATCAAATTAAATTCACATTATAAAACAATGTATATTATAAATATCACGAACTTATATATTTATTATATATATATATATATATTATATACGAAATTATAAATATAACGAATAAAAAAAAAAAAACCTATATAAGGTATATAATTTGTTGTTAAAGAACATTTAAATATTCTTTAAATAATTCTAAAATATAAGTTTTACAATTCAGTAGATTTATTGAAAATCATGTGACAAAAAGCTTTCATCGTTAAATAATTAATAAAAAAAAACAAAAAAACAAAAAATATAATAATTAATTTTTGAAATTAAACATTTATTCAATAATAAAAACTCGTGTTATTGTAAATAATACTAAATAATAATTAATAATAAATTAAAAATACTTTAGTATGTACTAAATTTATTATCTATAAAGTATCCAACCACGAAAATTCGTAAATATTCATTCGGTATGTTGCAGCTACGTTTATCTTATTTAATAGTTTCAATCTTAAATAAAACTTAGCAACGATTATCTAAATCTATTTTAGTTCGTATAATTTACTAATTTACTATATTTATTAGAAAATTATTAAAATGGAGACTTTAAGACAATTTATATGTATGATATTGACTACAAAGCCAATGGCAATTCTGTACATTTTAATATTGTCAAGAACGACTTCGACTCACTTTTCTAATAATTTGTAATCCAGTTTTCTTTACAGAAAAAAAAAACAGAAAGAAAAAAAAAGAGAAATTTTGTCGCTCTTAGAGTATGGCGTCGTATAATGATGTCAGTTGTTTTTATTATTTTCATTACTTTAACGCTTTGATTTTTATTATAATTCTTGTTTCGAAAGCCAATTTTTATCGTCACAACATCTCTATTGCAACCATAAATCTATTCTATTCGACAACTATGCAATATAAATCTAAAATCTTATTACATTTTGAAATATATTTTTATCCCAACATCATAAAGCTATATTATAATATTATTTTATACAATAGCTTTTATCAATATTATTTTGCGATAAGGTTTTCCAGCGACATATAATTCTTTTATAATTCTTGTAATTGAAACTTGTAATCTATCTAGTGTTTTGAAATTATGACTTTTTAATTACTATAAATAAATTATATTGAATAAATATATAATTACAACTTTATCTCGATGAAAAAGACAATATATATATATGAAAATTTCCAATCGTATTGTTTAATATTCATATAAACTTACTAAAAACTCTACATAATTCTACAAATTCTATATAATTTAACCATCTTCTTTTTAATTGTATTATCTCGCACGTTTATTAGTACACGAAGTTACTGTTTTATCATATTTTTGGTAGCATTATTATGCTTTCTATTTATATTCTGCGGCAAAAATTTTAAAAACTTTTTTTCAATTACCTATCGCGCAATGTCATGCAGGTGATGTTAATACATTTGATATTGCCTAGTTAATTTTATAATTGATAAATTATTAAAATAGAATTGGTCTTGAAGGTATACTTGAATAACTATTAAAATCCTTCAAAAAAAAAAAAAAAAAAAAAAAAAAAAAAAAAGAGATAAGATGTAAAAGTAAAAGGATTCTCTTTCTTATCAATAACGTACAAACAAACACTCCTTTTGCAATTTTACATACATAACTTTTGTCGACTAATAGATATCAATGTAATGATATCAACCTCAATTCGATTCGACTATTGCTTTATAATATAGTTATCGGTAATAAATTATTTAAATAGAATAATGAAACTTTGTTACAATTATTATTGTTTGATATTAAATTCATTTTCATGAATGCTCATTAATTATCTTAATAATTGTTTGTTGGAAAACGTACGTCTTGAATAAATAATATACGAAAATATATCGTTCTAATATATTATTGAATTGTTACTTGTTGTCTTGTTAAACTAATATTAAATACATTTCATAAATTACGTATTTGTTATGATTTTTCTCGAATCGAGTTGCATGTGAATTGAATGAAAGAACATTTTGTTGGCTGAATTATGTCTACACGATCCAGCGTAATTATTGAAATAAGACAAAAGGTAATGTAAATTCATCTAAACCTTAATTATTTTTAATTGATCATATTACTTCTGAATTGTATTTATCATACTTAGTCACGAATGATATATTAAATTATTTATGAGCCTAGTACCGTATTACTTCAATACCACGCAAATTCATTGGTCAATTATTGCCAGGGCATAATTTACTCTACTAGCCTGTTTGTCGAATAATTGAAAAAGTCAATTTTACAACAAAGTAAACGTGAGAATAAGGAAAAGCAATTGTCCTTACAACAGGTATTCGCGCGGGCTGAAGTGTTATTCGGCGGTGCCGAGGGCAGCGACGAGATCGATGAGGACATGGAGAAACCCATCTCCTACTCGTATATTCCGGATACGAATTTGGAGAACGCCCGTAATGTCTCGATTGCCCTACATGGACGCCAGGGCAAGTTTCTCAAGTTCCGCCTTTATTTTGCCGGTCGCTGGATAATGATCGCCGAGGTCACCTTCGACTCCTGTAAGTATATAACCTCCAATATGTGGTCCGACCATGAAATTCAAGCACGGCATCAAATTTCCAGCGATTTTTTCTCACAATTTCATCGATAGACGGAATAGGCGCGAATTATATAGAGTGTCCGTTAAACGCGACTCTCTACATTAACATTGAAGCCCTCGCCAGGCAAAATTAATGCGCATGTCATTTAAATTAACAATGCCTTTTCTGCGTGTGCTACGAGAATGAATAATGGCTTATAATATCGAGGCGAAGTGTTTTAATAATACGATTTAATAACGTGAGCATAATTACTTGCAAAACACACACGAGCGCGCGCGCGCGCACATATAACTACAACTATTAACTATATCTCTATATATCTATCTATCTATCTATCTATCTATCTGCCTATCTCTCTATCTATCTGCCTATCTCTCTATCTATCTATATATATATATATATATTTGCTTGTGTGTGTGTTTGTGTTTCAATGCATACGCAAGCGCACTCGTCGAGCTTATTATTAAAAATAGAGGCGACGGAAAAGCAGGAGCGCTTGCGTCGAAACCTACTTTGCTCCTTATCACCGAAAAATACGAGAATTTTTTTTCTCTAGATAATATGTGCACTTGATCAATATGCAAATTCAAATGAAAGTAAGTAATTTTATTTTTCTACAAGCTTTCGTAAAACATAAAATTACTCGATTTCAAATACAAAATATTAATAATCTGAACATCGTTTATAATAAATAACATTATAATACAATGCCAATAAAAATGAAAAGATATCAATTTAATCTGAGTAAAGATAACGATGAAGTATTTATTTTATTTTAATTTTTAAATTTAAAAGATCAAAAGCCATTAGTAAAAAAGAAATTTTATTTAAAGTCAATAGATAAAAGAATCTCGACAATATATTTTAACTGCATTTTAGCGTTTTACAAAACAATCACATCCAAAGTAATTTGTAAATGTTAAGATGATTGAAAGTCGTTAAAATTTGTTAAGAATATTATTTTCATTGGGCATGTAGTGAAATACGCTGGTTTATGAAAATAGCATTTAAATAGAATTTATGTGGAAATAATTAGCTAAGATAGAAAATAATTTATTCTACAAAGTCTGAGATATGAGTTGCAAATAGTCTTCTTATAAGATCCAAAAAAAAATTACTCGTTTCTGAAATATGTGATCAAATGCTAAGAATTTTTATTCCCTACGTGGCAATCTACAATTAAAAACAACAAAAAACAAAAAACAAAAAACAAAAAAAAAACAAAAAACGCATAAAAACATTATATTACCGTAATTATTGATTCACATTTTTGGTTCATATTATTGATTGCCATTTTTTTATTTGCCTTAATGCTTTTTTTTCATAAAAAAGCAAAAATTCATCAATATCATTGTAAAATGCGACATTTTATTGGAAAGGATGATGAAAAAGAAAAAAAGAAAGAAAGAAAAAAATCTTTAAAAAAAAAAAATGAGAATCTCGGAATTTGCGTAGCTAGGTTAATCGAATATTTACTATGCTGACATTTACCATTAAATTACTTATAAATCCTAAGTAATTTGTCAGAGCCTTGATTTGAATAGTGAAAACTTTCAGAATATTTTTACTAATAAAATAACTAATATAACGTTGCAGCGTTTTATCGAAAGCAGCAAATTTTATCGAATTTTTCGTAAAATTCTCTTGTACGTTAATTTGTATATGTATATGCGTGTGTACATAAATGTGTTTGCATGTGTTTTGAGGATTAGCCGTAAGATGAATATAACATTGTTTAAAAAGCGTGAATGGGATGATAAATGGAGAAGTTCGCATTTAGAATTGCATAATAGTAGCTCTAACATGCCTACCAGCCATCATACATCCAATATGCTAAAAGAGAAATTTGGCCCCGGGCCCTTTATTCCTGTTGTCCGTTAGCCTGATGAACGAAGCAGCGAGCGAGTGAGCGTATAGACGCGAGCCAACTGTAAAATTCGTAAATTCCCTAAATCAACAATTATCTTATTCGCAGGGAATCCGTACGCAAACGCCACGGAGGAGACTGTGTCCGAAATCAGTAACGAGGACGTCGTTGGTACGGTCAACCACGACGCTGATCTCAACTTACAAACGAGTACGTATATACCTGCAATCAAACTTGTCGCAAAGTGCCGAGGGAACGCGACGTTCTCTCCTTCTCTTTCAAACAGTGCCATTACTGTTCCGCTTCAACTTTGCGAGCAAACACCGTCCGAATCGTGACGAATAATCGCATTTGCCCGTCGCTCGGCTACTAAAACTCTTTTATTCCTCCCCTTCTCTTCCCCTATTATTTTTCGCCAGGATTTCATTTTATTATTTTCTTATTCGTTTGCTTTCCCATTTTCCGCCCGATCGTCGTCATCCTCCGACTTGGTTAACAACCTAAGCTGCGCCTCAAATTATATTTTGATGAACTATCGGTCGTCGAGGATCTTGGGCTCCGCGTCGCTCTAGTAACTTCATTTAGAAAATGAAGCCGCCATTCTTCTCCCGAAGAGTAGATGCGATTAAGAAGGGATGACGAGGACGGAAAGGAGAATCAACTGCCTTTGAATGACATGAGAGTTATTATAAGAAGCGCCGTAGGATGGAACGGACGGAGTGGGGGGATTGATTATGTGGGTGGTCGGGAGAGGAGGGGAGAGACGTGTTTTACACAGAAGAGTCGCCTCAGTGGTGAATACTTTATAATTCTGTAGCAACTTTAGCGTAACGTAAACAATTAGTCGGATTAAGTGGCAACGCTCTTTACCGGTATAAGCATGACAAGGAAGGGGAAGTAAACGGAAGTTTCGGACGCGCAAGAAAGTTAAGAACATGACAAAAATAACGGGCACACGAGTGAAACTGGGTTAAAGGGAGTAATGAAAACATTCCTCCCTTAGTCCTTCGTATCGGCTGTCTAATTATAGTTTACATTGAAAAAGGCGCACTTTCAACTAAAATATACCGAAAATTTCGGCAACTATTATTTATGTTCTAATCTTTTACTTCAATATAGCGTCTTATGAAACTCGTAATCACTTTTTGAATGAGCAAATAATAAGTTTTAGCAGTAAACTAATTGCGTTGAAGATTATACTCTCGAGTAGACATTCAATTTTCGAACAGTTGAAATCATATAATAAATTAAATTTAATAGTTTAAAGTTAAGACGATATTTAGTTATTAATTGAAAAATATGAAATAATAAGGCTGGTTGTATCATTAACGATTCAAGTAAGAAAAAACTATTAGTACAATATAATATTTTTATCAATATGACGCTTGAAGTAAGTACAACATTTTTTAATTAACAGCAATACCATTTCTCTTCTTTTTTTTCCCCCATTACATCGAGTATTAATAGAAATGACTCTTGTATAATAATAATGTATGCATATAAAATATAGAGTATTAATTATTCAACTTTTAATTAGAATTGGAAGATCCTGTTCCACATCATAGAATAAATAAATAAATAAATAAGATACTGTTGTCAAAGTTCAGTGACATTTATAAAAAATGAAATATGAACAATTATAAACGAGTAATTTAAAATTGTTTATACTCGGATAGTGGCTGATAATGGTATATATATATATATATATATATATATATATATATATATATATTTTATAAAATAAAATAAATAATCGTCCTGCTAATTCACGCACACCGAGTTATAAGATATAAATTATAATTTGCAAAAAAAAGGAACGAGTTCTAAGACACAGAGATATACCGAAATTCTTCATCTTATGCTATTATTATTAATATTGTTATTATTACTATGTTGTTATTGTTTTTTTTTTTTTTTTTTTTTTTTTTTTAAATAAGAATTATATTGCAAAAAAGAGAATCAATGAATAGTAAGATGGTGGACTAATTTTCGATTGCATTAAGCTATCATCAATAATACTGAAAAACACGTTACTTTATTGTATCTGTTTGTAACTATAAGTATAACAATAGGGTTACGTAATTGCAAAATCATATCGATAAACATATTTTGAAGAAAACATAAAGGGAAGCCGCTGAATGAACCGATAAACAAATAATACTTGCATAAAGCTGAGAAACGTAAACTCGAAATACTAATAAGAAGACAAAATGTATTATATTATGATGTTCGCTAGATTATTGCTTTAACATGTTAACATAAATATAAAGGACATGTCACGTTGTCAAAATTTTTCTTACTATATCAAAAAAATCTTTTTCACTTGGAGTCTTCTTCGCATACATGCGAGTGTCTGCGATTGCGAAAAGCTAGACTGACAATAAATTCAATGATAAAAATCGATTTCACTTTCACACTACATCGTCATTCGTAAAGCAAGTTTTACGTGTATTTTTTCATCAATGAGATGGTGGACAATTTTTCTTGCTACGCCAATTGATTTGTCCGTTTGTATGGATAATTTATCGTTAAGGAAATATCGGGATTTATAGTGGCTGATGTAGGGATTAATTGACCTTCGACAGAATCGACACTTAAAATTGTCGTGAAAGATTACGATTACGTAAAGTTGACTGCCATTCATTGCATCTGCAAATTAATAAAAAAAAAAAAAAAAACATTCCTACGTTTATTGTTAATTCTGAGCATAATGTTTCCACAACGTAATGTTACTCTCAACGGTTATCAATGGAGAACAATTCATGCAAATCAACCATTAAATATAAGTTTTTAAGTTGAAAATTTAATACGAATGTGAATGAACAGAATTTTAAATAAATTTAAGCCGAATAATTAAGATAAAAAACCTTGAGGCGCTTGATGTTTAGATAAAAATTATAATAGGTATAAGTTAATTGATTGTCAAGTGATATATTTAAAATTGAAGCGATTATGTAATTATATTATACAATTATATCGCACATTATCCGCAATGATCATAACAATTATGATTGCAATAAATTAAATATAAATCCCCTATAGGATAGATGTAAGAAAATAATTTTTTATTTGCACGCAGTTACAGCTCGGGAAGAAGATCAAGAATACATCGAAGTTCTCATTGGAGTTCTCACAGCAATAACATTACTTCTCTTACTCGTTTTTATTATCATCTTGTTGCTCAGTAGGCGTCAAAAGTTACAAAGTTCACCAACTGTATTAAAAAATCCTTTTGGCTTCTCAATTAATATGAAGGTACGAGAAATTACTTTCTAATTTACTTATTATAAGTCAGCATTTTATTTGGCGCAGCACCGTTAATTACGGAAATACGATGCGTTCAGAGTTTTGATCGATAGAGAAACGAACCGTTAATGCTCTGCCACACAATTTCTATTATATAAATATTTTTGATAAACTTGAAAGTAATTACTTCAATTTCTTCTTTTTCTTTTTTTTTTTTTTTTTGGATACATTAATATAATATTACAGTTTATTTAAATTGTAAAATAAGCGCGTTTATGAAATAACTCGGAAAAGCAATGCATTGAATTCAGAAATTCAGAAAATTTATATTTAAATTCATTTAAATTTAGAAAATTATTTATACGATTAATAATTGACGATAGATATTGTAAATGAATTTTTGTAAAATAATAATTTCTTTATGCAATTAATTAATTTGTGTCTACAGTTTACTAATAGTTTTTACAATTATCTTCGTAGATTAAAAATTTTTACTTTTTCATTTTACCTACCAGTTCCTTCAAATAACCATTATGCTTAACGACACTTTAACCTCATTTTTCTCTTCATAGTCATAATCGTTGCATTAGTACCGGCAATT